GAAACTAATACTAGTCTTAACACAAGTCCTTGTTCAAGAATCTGTAAGCTAAGAGTGTCCATCTTCCCTGCTATTCCTGTTCTTCCAGGCTGTTGTCAAGTTCATAATTATCATTGCATATCATAAGTCATAACATTAATTAATTGTTTGTTTTTTTAATAAAATAAAATAACACACTTAATAAAACAGTAACATGTAAAATCAATACCTTCTTTTAGCTGGAAACCTCCACTAAAGTATTGCAGTAAGTTCATTCCAAGCATAGCTTGGTAAAAATTAAATTGCTTCTTCGAGAGCTGCAGATCTGCATCTGAGCATGCGCAACCACACCCAAATTTTGGAGCACATGGCAAGCTTCTTTAATTAACAAAAAGGCGGCATGTAGCTAAGATGGCTCGATCCAGCAGTCACAGTATCACTTTTTCCTTACTTGAAGAATGATCTGATGGGACATGGACCTGCGCATAGACTGTTGGAGTAGATTGGTGTAAGAATTATCCTTGTAGCACCAACTGATACTGAGATACACACCGACAACTGGATTGACAGGACTTGATGATGAAGATGAAGATGATGACGATGAAAAAAGGTGGCTGAACAAAACGGCCGATTCGCCGATATTTGACTTTTCGCTTAGACGAGGTCTAGAGCCACGCTAGTGGTACCATTGGAGTCCTCTGGTCAAGATAAGGTCCTCTATAAAGTCTGGTAAGCATAGGAGCTCGTTTTCCCGGTATAGCAAGGCTGCAAAAGTCGTGGCAGCCATTTTGTTTGGGGGTGAATCCTACTTAGTAACGCTACCGCGTTACTAATAGTACAGGAACTTTGGCCCAATTTTTGAGTAACTTTAAAATTCATAAAAATCCAATTGTGATAGGAATTAGCTCAAATTTGATAAACAACATAAGAACATGTATATGTATTAGAAAAAAAATTATAAAAATCAAGAATCCTTTCCTAGTCATTTTTGGCGAAACTTGGCCAACGACCCTGTACTATATATATATATATAGTACAGGGACTTTGGCCCAATTTTTGAGTAACTTTTAAAATCCGTAAAAAAATCCAATTTGGGTCAAAATCAGCTCAAACTTGCTACACAACATAAGAACATGTATATGTATCAGAAAAAATTATAAAAATTAAGAATTCTCTCCTTGTCATTTTCGGCAAAATTGGGGAAAATTGGCCCAATTTTTGAGTAACTTTAAAAATCCGTAAAAAATCCAATTGTGATTGAAATCAACTCAAACTTGCTACACAACATAAAAACATGTATATGCACCAGACAAATGGAGAACTCTCTCAGCTAGTCATTCTATACCCTACAGGGGCTTTTTCCCAGCAACTTTCCAGCAACTAAAAATTTCTAATAACTTTGATCAAAACTTGATACACAACATGCATTTAAAGCTAGCTACATATTAGTTACTAAGGTTGGCAAAGTATGGTCTATATAATATCAGCGATGCATCAGATATAATTAGTTGTGTGCTATTAGTACCTCGTGTATACACTTTGCTGCACAAAGAAGGGAATCGCACTGAGCTCGA